TCTTCACCAGAGCTATCGTCAGATACAGAAGGTTCAATAACATTTTCTATAGTTGTAGCATCCCGGTTTCAATAAATCTCTGGGTAGATCTTTCCATCTCTTCTTAAAATGGCTTACATCTTTATATCAATTGTATACCCTTTTCCAAAGGGCATTTCCCTTACTGATTCTTCCCCAGTGCTGTGGGAGAATGTTTGTTTCGAGTTTTTGCCAGCTTCCCTTTGGAACAGGGGAGCAGTCACTTAACAAATGTCAGGTTTATGTATGAGGAAATCTCCAAGGTTTAACGTGCGTTTGTTTTCCTGTCAGTATGTACCTTCTGTTTTTGTTCACCTATAATGGTCTTGTAACCTGCATGGAGAGGCAAAGGAATCAAGGCTTAGGGAAAATGGATATTCAAGCAATTACTTGTACACTGATTTTCTAGTGCTTGGCCCAAAGAGATGTCCTTGATATGGGGGACTCTAGCTGGTACCTGGGGTTGCTGTATGTAGAAGGCTGGAAGTGAGAATAATGACACACGGCTCACTATGAAATCTGTACATTATCAAGGAAACCTCCTCATAACTTGGATGAGGTCTTCTCTCTACAGAGACTCTGTTTCAGAGCACTAAAGTACTTTGCATCTACCCAAATTGTTTTATTTACCTAATGAGTGTTTAATTATTTGTCAGCGAGGGTTTTGACAGAATAGAGACTAAGTCTATTCATCCAAGTTGTGCTACATGTTTTGTATTTTCTACAAATGTTTGTTGGATAAATGGATGAACCATGAACAGTATTGTGGTGCTTCCGAACCAGGGGAGTAAGTATTTCAGCGTCACAGATTCACATGAATAAAACCACACTCACAAAAAAATGCTCATGAGTGTTTTATAGTTGGGGAGAATTGAAAAGCCACCTATCCACAATGTGTTAAACCAGGGATTTCTTTACAGCGGCTCTCATCTTAGAAAACAGATTGGCTTTCCCTCTACCTGCTATAGAAGCTTATTCATGATGTCAGCAAGCATGTTTCAAGTGTTTGCCAGAATAAAGTAAGACCAACAAAATTCTTTGAGTAATTAGATTAATTAAACTAGACACTTAGACTAATCAAGAGGCAAACCTGTAGATTGCTATTGTTTCTTGGAAGGAGAATGAAATGAACATCATGCTATCAGAAAACCATGAATGGAAGTGAGGGAGAAGAGTTCATGGACGCCATGTTTTTGTAGGAAAGTTCGAATTTGCCAACTACATGTAGCAATGAGAACGAGGAAGGTAGGAGACATCTCAGAAAAGAACAAGATTTGGTGACTGGATTTGGGGACTGTAAAGTCTGGAATATTGAAGATGTATTTAAAATACATAGCCAAGAGGAGATAGTTGAACATTCTATTAAGGATGTAAATCATATAGGAGGAATTTCCTGAGAGATTATTCCTGGGTGAACCCAATATTTGGGGTGTTTGTGAATTGCACTAAATGTTTATTTTGTGCTTTTAAAAACTCTAAATTCATGAAGGTCAGCAGGACTTGTGACTCACTTCCAAATCAGAGTATGGAAAAGGACAACTAGTTTTATAGTGGAGAAACCTTGCACACAATACCTTAGAGAGCGACCATGTTTTCATCAGTGACATCATGCTGATATCATGCACCATCTGCTGCAATGAGAACAACACTCCACCTCCCCGGTATTTTTCTTTCCCTGAACCCAGAACTAGAGTCAAATCAGACAAACTCAAACTGAGAGACAAAATACCAGCCCATTCTTCTTCAAAACTCCAAGGGTCATTAAAAACAAGGAAAGACTGAGGAAATGTCACACGGAACAGGAGATATGATGACTAAGGCAATGTGGTATCTTAGATGGGATCTCTTACCTTCATTGTTTTGACAAATGTTCTAAGGTAATGTGAGATGATAACATGCGATGAAACTGTTCAGGTTGATGTAACTTTCCAATGTTTTGAAGGCTGAGACTGTGTGATGTAATGATAATATTGCTAGCAACAACTGAATAACAACTGAACTTTCTAAAGCACTTTCACATGCACTGACTCATACTGTGACCATACTGTGAGGCTGGTAGAACAGGTATTTTTATGGACATTTTATTAATGAGTAAACAGTGGCTCAGAGCCGAACTTAGTGGATATCAAAATTTTCAGTGCCTTGGGCTTAATCCATGATCTTATAAATCTAAATCCTGTGTTATCTTTACTTCCTCAATGTCTTAGAAATACAGGCCAAAGTACCTGTGCATGTATAGATGGGGGTGTGTACACATAAATGGATGGAACACTAGAAGATTTGAGATGGCAGTCCCATTTCAACTGACGTAAAAACTCCACTGAGGATTGAAGTCCAAAGAATAACTAATGAGCTGATTTTCTGTTGTTGTTGTTTTTTTTTTGAGGCTCACAGATGTATTTTTTTTCTCTCTCTACTCTTCTACCCTTTTGTATTAGTGATAGTTTCTTAATAAAAATGAAGTAACCTCATTATCCTAGTTTTGTGAGGCTGCTAAATTATCACACTCTGGAGCCCCTGAACTACTTTTACTACCCTTTTGCTTCCTCTAGCTACACCAGCACACACTGCTAAAGCTGAGGTACAGGTCATGTGGTTAAGAAGCTTGTTACAGTTATTCTGTATGTGATATTTTTCTGTACTTAATTTTCCTTGTCCAGATTACAATCATCATATCAATAGTCTTTAGTAGGGAGCACATGCAGATGATTTTGTGTCCTTATAATTTATTTTTTAAAAAAAGTTAATATTTATTTATGAGAGAGAGAGAGAAAAAGAGAAAGAAAGAGAGAGAGCAGGGAGGGGCAGAGAGAGAGGGAGACACAGAATCCTAAGCAGGCTCCAGGCTCCCAGCTACCAGGACAGAACCTATCACAGGGCTCAAACTCTCAAATCCCTGAGACCATGACCTGAGCTGAAGTCAGGCACTTAACTGACTGAGCCACCCCGGCATCCCTGTTTCTTTATAGCTTATAAAAAGCTATCATCTGAAAAATAAATTCTGTACATCTGCAGCTACCTTGTGTCACTTTTTCAGTCTTACTCATTTTCTGGCAGCACAAACAAGGGAAAACCTGTGCAGAGTTCCATTTTCTTTTAAGCAAAAACATATTCTTATTTTAATGTTTTATTTATTTTTGAGAGAGAGAGAGAGAGAGACAGCGTGAGCAGAGGAGGGGCAGAGAGAGAGGGAGACACAGAATCCGAAGCAGACTCCTGGCTCTAAGCTGTCAGCACAGAGCCCGACGCGGGGCTGGAACCCACGAACCCTGAGATCATGACCTGAGCCCAAGCTGGACACTTAATCAACTGAGCCAACCCAGGCGCCCCTAGCAAAAATGGATTCTTAAGGTGAAATAATGATACTCTTCTCTCAGACGAAGGTTTCAAGGAAAGAACCTGATGTGGATACTTTCGTACACTTATACACACCAAGATAAGTATTTGAAAGCAGGTCGATGAGTTATTTGTCCTAAAATGTGGTCGTCCCTGTTGATTCTGCAGCTTGACAAGCTCTCCCTATGCTCTGCTGCCACCTTGGCAAACTAGAAGGATTTACAACGAAAATTCTGCACCACGCTGGCTGGAAACTGTTCCCATTTCCTCCCTGGGCCGGCCCTGCTCCGGAGGCGTTTGGAATGGCTATTACAGATTCACATTGGTTTGGGGGATGTTGCAGAGAAAAACTTAGAACATCTATCCTGTGGAGAAACACTTTTTTTCCTTTTAAAAATAACTCCGTTTTCGCAAGAACCACGTGTTACCCTCTAAATGATTTTTAAAGACACCTTTCTTTCCTTCTTTAGTCCCGCATGGAGACGGAGAAGAAGGGAATCTGTTGAAAATGGTCTGAGTTTGCGCTGTGGGTGACGTTCTGCCTCTTCTGGGTGTGACGGTGACAGCGAAGGCGTCTGGCTCTCAGTTTCTCTCGTCTAGACTTCCATTCCCGCTCCAGGAGATGACTCGCCTCCAACTGCAGTTAACTTCTTGGGAGTCCGGAGCACTTAGACAAAGTTGTTTACAAAACGCAAAGCATCTGGGTGGCCAAGGCTGAGACTCGTGTTTTTTCTCTCTCTCTCTCTCTTTATCTCTCTCTCTTTAAGAGTTCATTCATTCATTCATTCATTCATTCTGCTTCCACAGGAGCTGGGAAAATATTGCTGATCAATATCTGGGCGCTTAAAGCTGACCTACTGTTTTCAATGTTGGGACGCAGATGTATTTTCTGCATCATCATTCTTGTCTGTATTTCTCTTGTTTATTCCATTCTACGGCGCGCTCTCTCCCTTCCCTCAGCCCATTCACACCGTTAACTCCCTCAAACCCGCCCCCTTGCCCATCCCCCGGCGTCTGGGTCTTATTGGAATACGCGGTCCTCTGCCACGGCTGACACGGGGTGAGTGGGTGGCACACAGCTCTCCCCGCGTTCCCATTTAGATGTTGCGTGGGTTGGTGCGTACCCTCCACCATTCGTCTCGCACACGCAAAAGAGTTATAAGCTAGAATGAGAACGATCGGAGAGTTGGACATCTTCAAAGCACCGCTAGGAAAGGAAATAATGCGAGGGGCGGGAGGGAGGAAGAAATAGAGGAATGAAACCCAAGTTTGCTGGCAACTTCAATAAATCTGGTAACTGGAGGCAAAAAAAAAAAAAAAAAGACTCCGAGGGCTGGGTCTGGTCCGGATGAACGCGGGGCTCCTCCCAGGCCGGAGCCCGGGGCTGGAAGCCGCCCCCCCCCCCGGCGCCTCGCCAGCGAGCGCCCCCGGACAGCAACACCCCCGCCGGGAACGCACGTGAACAAAGCTCTGGCCCCCGGAGCCGCTGCTTGCGGTTTCCGAGTCGGTGGCAGCTTCTCCAGGGAGTGTACGGCGCACACAGGGTTAACTTAGCTCCCTCCCCGGTAGGAGGGAGGGGAGGGGGAGGGGTAACACGGCGCACAGTCTCGGGCTGGGTACCTCGGAGTTAGTTGTACGGACGAAACCTGTCGCTGTCACTTGTGAGCTCGGCACCTTCCACCGTCGCCGCGGAGGAACCGGCGCTCGGAGGTCCCGGCAGCGGCCGCAACCCCGCGCCCGGGCTGCGCGGCTGCCGCCGGGGGGGGGGGGGGGGGGGGGGGCGCCCGGGCCCTCGGATCCGGCGCCGAGCCGCTGCGGGGCGGCAGCGCCGCGGCGTCCACCCGACCCGGGATCCGGTTGGCCGTTCTCAACGATGGGCAGGAGGGACCTTGGCGGTGACCCCTAAAACAATACCATGCCCCGGGAGCCCCGCTGCTGCCGCGCCAGCTTCTTCCCTTTCCACCTCCCCGACCCCGTCGGATTCGGATGAGCCCCCGCGACGCGGCGCGGCTGCCAGGTAAAGGGGCAGAGGTACCGGCTGGGGTTTCCAGCAACCGCCGGAGCGGCTGCTGAGCGGCCGGGGGTGGAGGGGGAGGGGGAGGGCGGGAGCGACACAGGTATTTTTTGAACCAGCTTAGGGGTGGTCATCGGGATGGGATGTTTTTGGGTTTTTCTTTCCTCCAGCGAAAGCCTGGGCTGCTTCACTCTCCCCCGACTTAAGGGAGGTCTATTTGCAGGTAGAATTTATCTCCTTCAAAGAGTTTTGAACCCGAGCTCTGGGTGGAAACCCAAATTTGCTAGTCTGCTGGGAGGGTCGATCCCAAAGTGGGGTGTCCAGAACCATTAAGCTTGCTGGGATCCAGCCTCCCACTCCCCCAGAATGAATACGCTAACTTCTAGGAGTAACACCGCCTGCCCCGCCACCCCCGCGCCCGCTCCTCCGTCTGACGTTCTTGTCACCGCTGTTATCAAGAGGTTGCATCTAAAGCCGCCTCCTGCCCGGAGTCCGGGACTGATCTGTGGCTGAAAGGACTCGGAGGACGCCGGTGCATTTCCCTTCGAGTTGGGGAGGAGGTTACTTTTTCCAGAAGCAAGGGTTTCTCCGCTCTGCTCCTCTGGAGCGGCCCCGCTGGGGGCTCGGCCGGCGCGTCTCCGCGGCGCGCCAGCGGGGGCGGTGGAAGCCCGGCGAGCACCGCGGACGGAGCCCGGGTGCGTTCTCGGGCGGCGAGCGTGGGACGCGCAGAGCCCGCGGGACGGCGGAGAGCGCCGCCCCCCCCCCAGCCCGCCCCCGCGCTCGGTGCGGGGCCCCGCCAGCCGCCACCGCGTCCCCGCGCGGGTTCTGCGCAGCCTGGAAAGATCCCTCGGCCGCGCTGACCGGTCTCGGGCTCGTCTCCGTGCCTTCAGCGGCGGAGTGCTTACTTCTGGTTTCTAATCAGGCCCAAGATCAAGGTTGCCAGTTGAGGGCGGGGTGTGAACCAGGGACATTAAGGATGATGGGGGCCGACTGGACTTTCGCTCGACGCCCAGGGAACTCCTGGGTCGCACGGGGCTCCAGGCAGCTGCAGCTGCTGGTGGAGGTGGAGGCCACCACGGCCGTCCTCGCTGGCGCTTCGCTCCCGGAGCCTCCCGGCAAGATGGCCCTCAGTCTTTCCTAGTCAGGTTAACTCCTGCAGCCGTGCCCCTCCTCCTGTGGATATTTGTTAGTCGCGCACGGAGTCTGGGGAGAGGAGCGGTTATGTAGATGCAAATCAAAGTATTTTCCTGGCCACTTTGCATAATGTAACAGGAGCCGCGACCCGCGGGCACAAACCCAGGTCGCGTGTGCGTGTGTGCGCGCGCGCGCGCGCGCGTGTGAGCGCGTGTGCCAGCGTGCGTCTCGGGCGTGCGTCTGGGTGGATCTGTGCGTGGCTTGGGCTTGGGAGGCAAATGGGGCGTTTCTCTAAGTCGTCTGAAGACGACGGAGGCACTCAGAAACTTGAAGGCGGTAGACACAACAGGGATGAGAAGGAAATACAAACAGTTGGGAAAGCGGTGCTAAGTGACTCAGGCTTTGAACTGAGGACGGGGAAGTCGTCCAGAGCCGGTCGTGGCCGCCGCCCCTGCCTCGCTCTTCGTCCGCGACAGGCTGTGGATCCCTAGGGAGCTGGTCCTGCGCGAGCTCCAAGCTTGCTGTCTGCTTCCCGCGTGGCCCCGCCGACGGCGCGTCTCGGCGCAGCCCCGCGCTTGGCGCGAGCTCGCTCTCCCTCTTCTGTTCGCAATCAGTCTCTCTACAGACTTGTTAAAACATGACAGCAACTTACTGGAGGCAGGAGGAGCGACGATGAGACGAGAGGAGAAAACCAGAAGCTTTTAAAATAGGTTTTCCAAGAAAGAGACGTGCACCTGGTTTTCTTACCTTACTCTTTAACCTTTGCAAAGAGATTGCGAACTGGAAACGCTGCCTGTATACAAATCAGGCTCTTTTTGCTGTCAAGTCTGTTTCCTGAGTCTTTGAGGCTGACTTTAGTTGTCCGCTGTAATCTACGGGGAAAGTGAACAACCCTTTCTCCAGCAGCCAGAGTGAAGGGAGAAAATGGGTGTTCAAAATAATCATGTTAAACTTCGGATTATTTTTCCAATTAAAGTTACTTGATAAGGTCCGGGATCAGGGACTTAACTGGGGGATGGGATGGGGGTGGGGGGCGCAAATCACCAGGGTTGCCTTCATTTGAAATAACGCCATCTTGGTTGTGAGACTTGTAATATTTTTACCCTCTAATCTCACGATTCGATCATTTCTCAGTGTCTAAGTAACAGATCCTCTGATTTGCAAGTACATCGCAAGCGGGCAGGGGAGAAACCGACTTTCAGCGCTCAGACGGCGGCATTACCCCTAAGAGTTGGGGGGGGGGGGAGAGGTGCAGGCTAGAGAGAGGAGAAGGCGTGCTCGGTCAGGGTGGCATGCATGGTGCTGGCCCAGACGCCCTGCAACTCTTCAGGGAGGAGAGGGTTAAAAGCCGAGTCCGACTTTGCCTCTCGGAAAGCTTAGGGTTGCAGCCGCGCCTCCCAAGCATTCTTTAAACCAGAAATGTGGGAGGGACTCCGAAGGGGAGGGAGGGAGGGAGGGAGAGGGGGTGCAGAGAAAGAGGACTCGGGGAGGGGAGCGCGCCAGAGCGCGGGGGACGGAGCGAGAGGAGGAGCGCGGGAGCGGCGGAGGCGATCCCGCGAATTCATTACTGTAAACATCTCCCGGGGGTGTCAGGCGGGGAGGGGGCGGGGGCCGCGGCGTCTACATTAACCCGGCCGCGTCCGATCGTGGCAGCAGTGAGGTCGGAGCAGCCTGGGGACCCACACCGCGGCCGGCGCCGCACTTGGAGCGCGCCCCGCGCCCGCCCCCGCGCAGCCCCGCGCCGCGCCCGGGTCCCGGGCTCCGCGCCGTCAGCTCCGCGGCCGCCGAGGCGCTCACGCCCGGCTCCCCGGCCGCCCCCAGGGGTCCTCCGCGCCCGCGGAGCCCCGGCGCTGCGGGGCCTCGTTCGCCGCCTTTCCCCGCTCGCTGTCTTTCGGGACTCCTGGCTCGGTCGAGGCGGAGCGGGGAGGCAGGGGAGGCAAGGAGGCGGGGGCCGCGGCGGCGGGAGCCGAGAGAAAGTGGCATGCCCGAGCCCTGGAGGTGCAGGTGGCGGAGGAAGGCGGGAGACGATGCCGCGGCTCCGTAGGGGAGAACGGCGAGAGCGAGCGGGGCGAGCGGGGCGCCGGGGCTCCGGCCGGCTGCGGGGAGGCGCGCGCGGCTCTGAGGCTCCGGCCTCTGCACCCCCGCACCCCGACGCTGCGGGCGTCAGGGCTGGGCTTCGGCAGCCGCCACCGTCGCCGCCTCCGCCACCCGAAGGACCCAGCAAAAGTTTGGATCTGGGGGAGGACGCGGCGCTGAGCGAGATTACCACCGGGGCTGGAAGGAGACCTCGAGAACCTTCGCAGGTAATGCGCACCCCCGACTCTCTCCTTCCGTGCCGCGCCGCTGGGCTTCCGCGCCTTCCCAGCGCGGCCCCTGACGCTGGCCTGAGCTGACTGAAAGTGCGAGGGAGGCGAAGTTCAAGATCCCGGGGATGGGCACCCAGCGCGGGGAGATCGACAGTCTGGTTAGAGGGGCCCGTGGCGCTTCTCTGCCCCCGGTGGGCAGCTGGGTAGGGCGGTGAAGCTCCCCCTGCGGATTGAGGAGAACCGTCGGCCCCAGCTGGGGCCTCATCTCGTAGCTCCTTGGAAAATGAGAATGTGGATTCAGGGGCTTTTAGTATTCTTCAGTCCGGGGGGATGATGCATGGATTACACTCGTTCCCACCCTCACCTTCACCCTCTCGCTCTCTCTCAGCCTTAATATTTAACGTCTTTTCAACATGATAGGAGCCCACTCCCATCCCATTCGCCCACCCCATTTAGCTGGTGTAGGAAAGCAAATCTGGGCGCGCGTGTGTGTGTGTGTGTGTGTGAGAGAGAGAGAGAGACAGAGAGAGAGAGAGACAGGGAGGGAGAGAGAGGGATTCAAGTAAAGAGAAAAATGTACCTTTCCCCCCTTTGACATCTCCGGATCTTTCCCTCCCTCCCTCCTTCCATTCACCTTCTGGCGTAATAAAATAAAAACTTTAGAAGTCACATTTTTATTGCGGGCTGATAAGAAAAGCATTAACCATTGCCGACGTGAATTTTCAGTGAATGTATTGTGTGTGCGTGTGTGTGTGTGTGTATTGAGGGGGGTGTCAGTGGTGTTGCAGAGAGGCCGGTTTTTCCTCGGTGGCCTGATGCGCCATGGTGTGGGGGGAGTGAGTACTGTGCAATTGGGGCTGGGGGCAGGGGAGAGGATATGGTCACGTTTCCTGAACAGCAGCCTTACTTAAGCTAAGAAAATAGCTCCTGCTTGTCCCTCGGAGAGCTACAGAAAGATTCCAACCCCAACTCTCCAATGTCCACTCCCCCCCCCCCCCCCCGTCCAGTTTTGAGTTTCAAAGCAGCTCAGCGTTTGCTGCTGCCATCATCTCTATTATGATCATTATTTATTCACCGGGAAGCTCATCTTAACTTCTCTTGTAAATGGAAATCAGTCTCCAAGAGCTTTTGATTAATTTTAGTGGAAGGAATCTCTTGTAAAGCTTACAGTAAGCTAATCAATTGCAAGGCACAAATCCGTGTAAATGCTCGCGCAGGAGTGCAAGGTGCTGATTAGATTTCCTCACATGCTGCATTTGCTATGCAAAGCCCCATCTAAATGGGAGCTATTGCTTGCCACTCAGCCGGGAGGCTCTTAACTCACACAGGGTTTCAGGGAGCTTTGGGGCATGTCCCCTTGCTCACAGGCGGATTGCTGAATTTATTATGTCTAACTTCTAGCCTAAGGCTAATATGTAGGATAGCGTCCAAATAGGAACCCATACTGTCTGTGGACTTAAGTGATATGACCTTCTTAAGTCTCCAGTGAAGGATCCCCCAAACCTTTTGAGGTAATATAACGCAGGTTGGCGTTTGTTCAAGGATGTATTTAGTTGTTGCAGT